ACATCGCAAGTCAATCAAAGTTGAAGATGCAATTCACTGAATTCCAACTCAGTGTTCAGATATCTGCAAGTTCTGACTGCAAACTTAAAAGAAATACTATACTGAAACGAAACAGGTGTCCAGTACTCTCTGGTTTTTAATGGCACCCTGACTGAGATCAACTCGTAGTGAATGCCATCTAAAATTGAGAAGGAATTCCTCCGCTCAATTCGTTCCTTCTGTATCTACAAATTTATTTAACCTCCATCTGTTAATCAAACTATTTACTTACGATCTTTAGTATTGTGGGTAAACAACTCCGACTGCCCGTAGATTTTCAACTCATTTACTGGTTCGTCATTACAAGTTCTTAGATTTTTTATACCTTTAGTTAATAGTCGGTACTTGTGTAAGTAGTTTAAAACTGAAAGCGGCGAGAATATAATTTATGGATGACTTTGAACGGATTTTAAGTGACCTTGAGAGGTTTAAGCCAGTCACAAAACAGTCGGTATAGAGAAAAATATAATATACGAAACCAAAAATTAGAGTGGATACACTTCTTTAACATAGTTTAGTGTGTGTGATTGCAGGTTTTTGATAAGCAGCGTTATTTATCGATCGCGATCTGTGACAGTGACACGGAAAACACGTACGGACGACCTAGTGCCCTGATTGGCCCTGCTTCGCTGTCCGTCCTAGCCCAGTTGAGTGAAGAACACAAGTCACAGCCTCGGAGTTATGAATCATTATATTTCAAACATACTCATACCAAGCAAACAAACCACATCGTACCATAAAATAGGAAACAACATTTGTACAATATTTAACAAGTGAAATAAACATCGACCAATAAGAAATGTACATTTAAGGTTCAAGGACACCATTGAACTTAACATGATAATTATTGGTCTCTTTTAACAGTTTAAAAATTTATCAAGGTTAGAAAGAGGCTCTGAAGTTCTGAAATCGTAATGCATACGATACAGAAACCCATCGATGTGACTCCATAATAGTCGACCTCTGTGGCCATGATAAGGTAGCAGAAATCTTTTTAACCTCGACCACATTGCTTCTCTATTATTTTTGTGCCCTCCTGTGGGGGATCTACAAAACACCGCTTGTGAATGGCACGATTCACATAAACAAGTCTATGTAAGCATGTGTATGCTCTTCAGTCACATGTGTGTATGGTGGTTCCTGGCTACACATACTCTGGTATAATTCGTACTATGGTCGAGGCTTGTCGTTTGAAAGTGTCCTTTTTGTGATGATTTTCGTATATTCTAAGGACCTGTAAGGCATATTTTTGGAAGTGCTACTTACCGGGATTTCTTTAACACTTCGTCCTCTATTGAATTTCCATTTTTCGACAACCGTTTCGTCTACATCTACGATACTCCCGACTCCAAACGACTCATGTAAGCTTGTCATTTTTGTTGCACATATATCTCGGCAATACGCATACGTCGTGTGTGCTAATTATATCGACATAAGTAGTGCATAACGCTAGTCGGGAATAGAATGTCTGTCAACAGGAAGCCAAGAAGATCGGGTAGGAAAGAACAGGAACAGAAAGCAGTTGGTATGGAAATGCAGGAACAATGAAGTTTTAGATGAATGACTGATGTTTACAAAAGGAACAATCAAGTTTGAGACAACTGATTGACATTTTGCAAATTAGGTATCTACTGTATGGTTCCCAGATTTTAATAAGATGTTCCGTAATTTTGCGTTCAAATACATTCGATTGTTCCCACTTGTTTTCTCGTTCACTGCAGTACTACTGAATTGCCGAAGCTTCAGTAACATCTACAAGGGTTGCAGCCAGTGTTACTGGTGCTTTTATTATCCAGTTTGCAAAAATTATTATAGTTAGCCTTAGTCTCAATCGGGATCGAGCGAATAAAGTTCTCGTTATAGCAGACTTTTCCTCCAACATACATTACATCTGGATACAACATCGTCACAATAGTCTGCACAAGCTCCAGTATTCATTTTATTACCGCAATTACAAATAAAGGGACTTCTTAATAATCCCGTTTGTTGTGGCCGCTTAACTATAATTTCTTTCCTAAAATATGTTGCAAACCGATCGTACATGAGCATTGGGTACTGAAGTAAGAGATGTGATTCCGACTGGGCGTCAACACGATGACGTTCAGCACCTTGATTAGTAGTTACACGTATATGAATTGTGTGTAACAACTTACTTTGTAAAATGCAAAATTCGTAAAGCCTTCAGTTTAACGTCAAATTAGTCTCTCTATTTACAGTCAGATCTTCAATAGATAGTCTGATAAATATTCTTATGCTTTTGACGCGTTTTCTAAGATGTACTCAACTATTTAAACGATCATTATTACCATTCTGGATAAAATTAGTCTTGCAATTAAGAACATAAACCAAAAACTACTGAATCTCAAGTATGTGTTGTTTATTTCTACCTACTTATTAGTAGTGTGAAGAAAAACAAAAAAGAAATCAAATGTAGATGCATATGGAATAAGCAGTTTCTCCGATGGTCGGTGTAAAGAGGATATTTTAAGTGAAACAAATTAAAAGGGATTTCAATTAAGCTTTAATAGTTAGATAATTGTCGGCTGCAGCTTTATTCAGCCTACTTAAATCTACTAAACTTTCAATATATAAATTCGTGAACAACATACAATCTTAACTTAAGGTTTTTATATTACGCACACATCACATCTTCCCAAGTATATTTCTGGTCTGAACGATCCCTGAGAATTAGGTTTATTATCTGCTATCAATATGTTACCATAGGTATGTGAACATGTTCAACTTGAAAATAAGTTGAATGAAAGACTGATTTTAAAATTAAATCGTTGAAAACCTGGAAAACTAAAGTGAGATGCCTTGTCTGGTAGATTTCAACCATGGTAGTATTGAGAAAACTATCATAAATCCCGGTGGATAGTGTCCACACAACACCTTAAATCGACTGCGGTTAGGGATGTAATCTCATTGTTCTCAACGTATTAGTCGAAAGATCGCCCCTTAGCCTGAATGTGTGGACGTACGGGATTAATAAGTCTTGGCCCCCAAATGCACTGGTACGACCGAGAGTACGCTCCCCCTCTCGAAATGCTTTCACAAGACCACTGCCAGGAAATTCCTAGTCACTGACTTCTCGCGGCAGGGGTGTTACTTGGGAAATTGAGAAGACGAAGAGCTAATGTTCGGCGATTTAACCGAGTTTGTGGACACGGAGGGTCCATCTAGGGGATCGAAAACCCTGAGGACCAATGGTTGGCTCTAATATTAATGAGTTTTTTAACTCTGAGCCTATAAGATTAAGTTCAACTCTGACAGTGTATTTTTCACGATCGATAGCTCCATGAAGAACACTCATTCGTAACACTGGAATAGTCAGTCAAGTTTTTTATGTATTTTGGATTCACAACTCATATTTAAAACAAGTAGACCACAACAAATGCTATTCTTGAAATGAAAGTAAGACATTTATTAGTTGATAAACTGCTGTATGTGAATAGTAAGAGGTGTAGTAACAATTGATACGTCAAGAAAGTAGCCAATAAACAAAACTGTATAACATTGCCATGAACCAATTTTTATTATTTACAAGCTGGTTCTGTAGTGAAGGTGAACACAGGTGAGGACAACCAAATTGTATTTAGCACAAAATTACAGTTACTTGGTGAAACAGAAAAACCATACAGTAAATCGTTAATTTGCAAAATATCATTCCATCATATCAAACCGGACTGTTGCCGTTGCAAACATCAATCCATTGTCTCACATTTCATTGTTCATGCGATTTCTTACAAATTCCATTGTTCTCGCTCTTCCTTTCTTGATCTTCCCCATCTTCTGCTGCCAGACATTACGTTCTTTTAACTCACGTTATATAAGTAGCACGCACCACAGTTCCACAGAAATAATAAATTCCTGGGTTTTGTTTTATTTGACTCTGAAAATAATTATTCAACAGGGAATGTACTCCCATGGACACGCACGGCGAAACGTAATTAGTAACTTTTGGGGCGTGTTGTTTGAGAGTTGATACTGATTCACATTCATTTTATACACAAACACGCACTCGAAGAGTGAGGCTAAACCGAGTCCACTAATTCATAGATACATATTTGTCCCTCAGAAACCTAAACCTATTCTCATCCCTTGCTAATGGAAGTTGTTTCTTGATCAATCACGTACACCTATTTAGCAGTTTCTGATTGGACTACTGTGACATGGTGACGCCATTGTACATCAGCGACTCTTTAGTGACAAAGACGATTGCATATTCTCAACTTAGAGAGGACAGGTTTAACAAGTACATAGCAAAACTGCGCTCATCAACACATTATCCACCTAATCTTTTCAGCCAGGGTAACATCATGATGGGATCCAGATGGTGATAATCCTCTCTTTTTACGCCATCACCAGCATCCATAATACTACTCAGATATACGGATTTTTCTATTCCTAACGGTTAACGACCAATGGTGAGTGCAGGATCCTTCATCTTGAAGCATTTTGCATTTCGGCGAAAAAAATAATGTTTTATTAGTTTCGTATAATTTATAGGCTAGGATGGGACTTAATAATTCGAGAGATGGAGAGGAGCCTTATGACGACAATAACAAAAAGCTAATGAAAATGGTGGAATTTTTCATTTGCAGCATACTATTACTATTCGAAGAGTGGAGACTTGGCTAAAATATATTTTAGACAAGTTCACGTTGGGGTAAGTTGATTGATACGTTTCTTAGTCAATCCGCGCTAGCAAGTGAGCTGAGAAGGCTTTATAAAATTCCTGTTTAAATTTTATACATACACCAAGAATTTTCTAAATTATAATTAATTTGCTGTTTACTTTGGAATATATATTTACGTTTCATTTTTCAAGTTGTTTCCTTATTTGAATTCGGTCGAGTGGAATGAGGTGTCCAAGGATACTAGGTTGTAATAGGAGATGACATTATAGTATGTATATCGAGTGGAACAAGTACAGTTTGAAAGAACAAAAAACAAATATTCAGACAAATTTATTTCTTTTAATAAACAAAAAACATACAACATGTCTTAATGGGATTGGAAAGGGATGGGAATATTAGACAAAATGAACAGTTTTTTTTAATGTACACACACACACATTATTACAGAGCTCTTCACATTATTATTCAATAATAAAATAATAAAGACTAATTATAAACAAAACAGAAAATGAAAAACAGTAACTACTATTAAATTAATGAGTTTCACAATTGTATGCAAATCACTTTTTTACATTTAACGATTGTGTACTACTGACAGTTTGTTGTTGTTTAGCAATAACTTGTGCTCGAAGAACTCTATGACCAGCTAAAAATGTTGGCACACCTAATATACTCAAGTATTTTAGAGTTGTGAACATATCTAAACGGCACCAGTAGACGAAGTAGAGATAACAAATGGCTGTAAAAGGAAGAAAGAAATATACATGATATTAGTTACATGTATGTGTTTATATTGAAAGCAATTAATATAAAGTTGATTGAACATTTTACTTTCTGCATCGTATTCAATATAATTTGGTTGATATTCGTCCTATTAAGTGAAATCTATACATAGAAGTAACTACTGCTAATTTACAAACTTAGATTTTAATGTAGAATTGATAAGTGTCAGCTAGTCATAATTAACGTAAGGCCAGGGACAAATGCGTATTGACCTAAGTCGCTTTACTACATGAACATCATGAAATCAAATCAACAAGATCAGTTGCAAAAGAAATCGAAGAGACAGAGTGTAAAGGTACGCATGAAGGAATACTGGAATCGAAGACTTAGATGATGTGAATGAGTGAATGCATCTGAATTACTATGATCGATTCCAAATCAGGTAAGGGAGTCTACTTTGATTCATTGAATATTAACATCAAACAAATAGGTTAACCCTGTATAATTTTTAGGAAGAATTAAGAAATTAAGAGAAGAAACTTGGGATCAATTCATGTTATCACTTCTCTTCTCAAGTGGATTCTTCAATAACACTTCAACAGTCTAGAATATGTTGATATATAAATGAAAACGATGATTAGTTACACCAATTATTGCTGAGTAAAAAATACTGCTAACTCAGCGATAATCTATTCTGGCAGGGAACAAGCGAACTCTCAGTTGAAGTGGAGATTAGGAAAAAACGCTGGAGGTGGACAGGATACGCTTAAAATGAATCGAAAGGCACGCACTAACTTGAAATCCTCAAGTTAAGTCAGAATGAAGCAGATCGAACAACATATGGAGTAAGAAACCGGAAGACACCAAGACCACGGAATAGCACTGGAAAGTAGAGCCCAGGAAAAATTTGCTTGGAGATCCCTAGTCGGAAGCCTCAAGACGGGTAACAGGCTTAAGAAAATAATTACGTTTTAATACAGTACTGACAAAGAAGATCCTGTAGGTTCACTAACTGTCCAGAATAAATTGATGATAGTAATAAATAATACTAAAAGTAACTTACATATTAGACCGGCGTGGAAAATAATATTGGAGATAGAAAATTTAAAGTTGGAGATATTGAAGCCAATAACTGACCACTGAAAAGGAGAGGAATTAAAAAAGCAAGAGAAAACTGGTTAGTCAAAACTTTAACAAACAAATAGATACGAATCAATTTTTATTTAGACTGCAATATCTGCTACGTGTATATTACAGATTTCACAAATATTTATGGAATTAGGCGTGGAATTAATCTTTAGAAAGCTCAACTTACGTTCTTTTCATCACATCTGAACCTATCACTTATGTACTAGGAGCAACATACTTATTGAAACCAGCTCATAATCAAGAGTAAATTAAGGGTGAGTAAAAGAGCCTGAAACTTACACTGTTGTGAATGAAGTAGATCGGCATTTAAATACTACATATGTGACTCAAAGATTGCACAAACTGTCCATACCACTCATTGCAAGATATGTGACTTATACGCATAGACATAAGTAGTATGTATCAGTCACTGGAGGTATGATTCTTACTGACAGAAGAGGGAAATGAAAAACAAAAGCAGTCAGAGTAGCAATAGAAATGGATATATTCCCATTAAAATAGACAGATGAACATAGATTTTTTTTCAACGAATTATCATCAGGTTCTACAGTTCTAAGCCTAAATTAAATATCAGGAGATGATGAATCTAATTTAAAGCAAATGAATGCTTTAAAAATGCAACCTATGTATTTGGGATGATTTGTGAAGTAAATTTGTTAGGTAGAGTTTGTACATACAATTGGTGAATCGATTAAAAATAACAAAGTTGGAAATAAATATAGATGATTAAAAGCGAATGAATTTTCAAAAACTCACGGCTATAATTAATCCAAGTAATGGAATTAGACAAAGAATTGTAAATGTAAGAGCCAAGAAAGGAGGTGCACGTTTTTCTGGAGCGCGAAACATATGATCAATTTCTGGCTTGGCGGTTGTCGGCCCAGAGCCAATGATTGCATTCGGGGTAAATGCACGTCTGGAACCAGCGGGAGAAGATGATTCTTGACGCGAAATATCAGTAGCCTGAGCAATACGACGTTTAGTTTCATCACCGGCTTCACCAACGAATCGAAGGTCTAAGTCAAACTGGATACACAAACAGAATTATGAGTACTTTTGTAGATAGTTGTAGTTCATATTGAAAAGATACTATATTGTGAGAAGGATGAAACATGCGTACATACAAACAAATACGCACACTTACCATGTGCCAAAGGATTGGAGCTTTGATTGATGAATCACCAACAATTAGGTCGACTTTATATATCCCTGAAAGGTAGTCGAATTCGGCTGCGGACGAGTCTGGATCCTACATGATAAAAAGTAGTAAGAAAGTAGTAAAGAAAGTATAAAGGCGATTTCGTTTTGTGGATTGTTTTATCAAGTTAACTAAAATCGACAGGTTTTCCCTATGAAAGCAAGTACTTTTGAATTAGCTGAACTATAGAGATAAGACACAGATGACAATAAAACAAATAAAAGCATCAAAAAACTTACGAGGAGTAATTTGTAACTTTTCTTTTCAGATTTTTTATCTGTAATTGTTTCAGTACAAGTGTAAGTGATAGCTTGTTGAGTTTTCTGATGAGTTAACTGAATGAACACTTGATGTGCTGTCAATGAGATTTGTTTACTGTCTACAATATTTAAATCTATTGATATTTGTTGACCAATTTCTAAAGTGATAGCTCCGGAAGCGGTTGAAGCTTTATACGTCTTCTCAGGTGTTAAACTGAAAGGAAGAGAAAAACAGTAGATACCAAAACTATTTAAAAAGATAACTCAATAATACAATAATGTTAGCTTATAAATATATGGAAGAAAATAAAGGATACCTTTTTTGTATGACCCAAGAATACCATTTAGTTGAATTGGTTTGGCTAATGTTGCTGTTATATAGGCTTTTAAACCAGCTATGAATATATATATATATATATATATATATATATATATATATATATATATATATATATATAACCATCAAATGGCTGAAACAAAATAATATGCGGTCTTGTGTCATGCTTGTGATTTTGCAACTTGCGTCATTTGTGGAATAGGTGAGGCGTCCACTGTCAGCCAAAGTGTGATTATACTGCACAGCAGTTCGATCTATGTTACTTTATGGTTGTGAAACAGTTTCTGGAAATAGAAGGCATCATCAGACTGCAGATTTCGATTACAGGTGTATTCGGAAATTCCTTTGGGTAGGTTGGAACCACCTAGTAATTAGTGCTGAGGATAGAATTGCGATACTAGGAAAAGTCAGTCCTAAACATCGTACAGTCCGGAGGAAATGTGCGTGGAATTTTCGTGAACAATAATAGCTAGAGACATTGGATGACACTGGTTAGATTTGGTCGAAATGGTGTTGATAGATACACTCGTTATCTTACTCAACCTAAATCCCTTCAGATATATATATATATATATATATATATATATATATATATATATACTATTTCACACTTTTTGAATGGTATTCTTAAGATCTTTCTCATTGTCATTATTAATTTCATCTCGTTCCGAAAGTTTGGTATGGAAGGGCCGGTAGAGATTTGTGCCAAGCTGTACATTGATTACGACTGGTAGTATAAGAACAAAGAGGTTGTAACGCACATAGCTTCAAATTTATATTCAAGACTACTGTAGTTAGAACAAACGAATATAATTAGCCCATAGAATAGAAAAGTTAGATTGGAAGTTAAGTACATAAATTTATATTTGATTGCTGGGTCATATAAAAAAGTAAGGACACAATAGGGTAGCAAGTGCATAGATATAAAGTAAATAATCATGCAAGATTCAGAAAAAGACTAAGTAAGAATCAATTGTAAGCAGTCTAAGCTAAAGATTATCCACCATTAGCCACTTCCTAACGCATTGAGGTATGCAACTAATGATAGTTAATACTAACAGGATAAACAATACCTGATGTCAGCAACATGTTGTTCACGTGCAGAATCCATGATAGTTATGGTAGCTTGAGCAACTTTTGCTTCTGTAATTATACGTAAGGGGATCTTTAGGTATAGGAAAAAAGATATATATAACAGGTATTATAATAGCTGTTATTTAGTTGATAACAAGTAAAATAATTTGTGGTCAGTAAACGTATTGATTGAGTATTTATGGCGATTTATGGAGTGGTTGCTTAGTGGTTAAGGTTTTCAGTCACTAAGTCACAGGTTTGAATCCCGCTCCATCTACTTCGGTTTGGACAACTAGGTATTACCATTAGTCCTCACATTTAGAGTGTGATTCATATCCAAATATGAGGTGAATGAGTTAATTATACATGATGATTAATGAATTCTGTCGATAATCTCTACAGTTCATATATTGGAAAATAACTTACATAAAAACTATATTGGTTTTATAACTGAACTCTATCAACCAATGACATTAAATTAATGTTAAACAAAAGTGAATAATTACTGGGGTTTTTTTAAATGAAATTTGTTATTTTTCATCTTTGATTATGTATTTGTTGTCACATAACTAAAAGTTACAGTCGCAAACAATCTTCTTGACGAACTAATTTGTATTTAAATTACAACCATCAATCCCCTAGTACACTGACATGATCAGTCAGTTAATTTTATCATTAGTTCTGAATACAACAATTAGATTCAGTGCATTTATAGTTTAATTGTTCCGTAAGGGGAATTTTACTAGTCAGATTTTTCACATATACCATGTTTGATATATATATATATATATATATATATAAGCTGATAACCAGATTATTCACGAGTTTTAGTGTAGAATATAGCGTTAAACATCAAAATCCATTGTTAAACCAACGGACAACACAATACCTGGATATTAGTTATTCCAAGGAGTTTTTGACGATCATTTGTCTTTTTACTACCAGTTACATCTAATTCATAATATCCTGGAGTAGTTTTTGTATCCAAATCCAAAGTAAGCTGGAAAGCATTGCTGAGTAAAACGAAAATATAATAACAGTGTATCAGTGAAAAATAATACGACCAAAATCCGTGGAATTGCGACTGATATAGTAGCTGTAGTATATAAAGTTTGTCGACTGAGTCCGTCATAACATTTTAAAGAAACACTTAAAATATCGATAAGAGATTGGGATAGCACTCTACCTACTTCGATTTAGACAGTTGCTGTATGGTACCATAAGCCTTCACACAACCAAAGTGAGACTAAAAGTCGAAGTAGACAGACGAGTTGTCACGTTAGTACTTCAGGAACTGATGTGTTAAAGTTCGGAAACTTGATTCATACGTACTACAGATGATTTTCAAAAAAATTTGATGACTTGAAAAAAAAACGAAGGCTAACTGAAGAACCAATGGTTATGATGAAACACTGGGTGTCCTGTTTCAACTTACATTAGGACACCAAAAATATGCATAGCAGGTCCATCAGTGATAATATACTAACATCATTTCTAAGTTGTTATATTTGATAAGACTCTTGATATGACAGACATTTCTCAATAAATGTAACAGAGACTGACTGTTCTTGAAGTTCTGAAATCAATCGGATTTTATATTATTGTTAAACACTTCCACTGACTATCAATTAACTTTGTATTTTTTTGTTTGAATTGTTAGTACAATAGGAGTGTGTAACTGACAAATGACTGTTAAACATTGACTAATATGATGCTCTTAATGTATATTCGAGTCAGGATTTCCACATTTTAGTGGTTAAACTAATATTTATTACTGTTTGTGAATATTGTTATGATAATAATGTGACACAACAACAAAAGGAAGTTTGAAAATTGTATGCAGTTATGAGTCACACTACATGTGTGATCAGTACTTCTGCTCAAATATCCCAACCGTAGGTTGTAGATAAATTAAGATTCAAATATCCAGCTTAGTGGTTGAAAACTGAATGTGTTTAACCCTTAAGTCACTTCTTTGCTAAACATGATAATTGTAACGGCCTTACGGTTAGCAATGAATTTTTAGGTATTAATGCCAAGGTTGGACATGACAGTTTCAAATAAATTGACCATTGGGTAAAAAGCTAATAATAAATTCACCTTAACTTGACATTGAAATATCCAGACATATTATGATTTTGATTATACTAAAACCGTTTTGCATTGTTTCCTTTGTAGTATTTAAACTTCTGTTAATTTCATTTGGTTATTTATTTACTCTAAAGAAGTGGTTTACATTAAATCACGGAACGTCAGAAATACAATTTTCTACTCGTTGGGATATAACAAAAAAAATATTTATTATTATTCACCACGAAGTTTGGTACTTAATCCACCAACAATGATTTTAGCAGACGGATAGGGAGCTAGAACTACTGTACATCACACATGAAATATCTCCAAGTTGTAATGGGTTAAGAAGTTACATAGAATATAACATTTTAAAAAATGATATATGTGTTGGATTGTGTCGGTAATCGGAAATAATCTTTTGTGCGTGTGATGAGAATTGTTAATGATTGACGTAAAGGTATGAACCCCCTACGCAAAATTTAAAGATGTCACGTGATGGGGAATATTTCCAAGGATATCATCTATTGTTTACATCAGTTTACACGATGGTGTAATAGTGCTATTACTGAGAGCACTGTATAGCGTCGAGAACGAAAGTTCTATTGAAAAAAATTTATCAGTATCTTCCTACTGAAATCGAAATATACAATTAAAGCAAGATATATACATACGAAGAGTTTTAATTCAGCCTTGGTTATTTTATACAAAAGTCGTCTGAGGTGAATACCTAGATTAATTGAAGACTTATTCATACGAAAAATTACCCCCACCTATGTGTGTGCGTGTACTGAACAATAGTCTATACAAACGCTAAATCTATCCTGGTACTATTGTTTTAATATTTAGAGTGATTTGATTGATATTACATTTTCCCTATTCTCATTATTTTTCTTATCTTTCATTTTATATAGTTTAACTTTTAATGTTCAGATAAAAAGAGTTTTAGAAGTTAATGCGTAAACTGTATTACCCCCGAACTTCCTAGTACGGTCGAGGGTGGGGAGAGTCCGCTCTCCCTCTCGAAATGCTCATATACCAAAACGGACTGTTTTCCGAAAAAAATAATTCTTGAAAAACACTGCATTATCATAACGACTGATTGGTTAATTAATTAATTTAATAAATTTACTTTTTATCATCTTGTTTGAAAGCGCCCAGATCAGATGAACTGCTTAAAATACGATCACCAGTAGGTCGCTTGATTGCATAAACACCATGGGCTTTGAGGTTGAATTCACTAGGTTTAAAATAGATATCAGTCCAAATATGCTTTAAACGTAAATCTAAAATAGGATGGGTTTGATCGATTGATAGGGTTGGAGGAATGGAAAGACCCAAATCTTTGCTCTTAACTGATGATTCAATTACAACAGGCAACTAATAAAAAGTTGTGTAAGAAAATGAAAAGACTATTAATTTAATATTGTAATATGTGTATGAAAGGTTTGTATTAATCTGAATTATTTAAAGTTTAGTAAAGAACTTACTATGGTTCTGTTTGTGCTTCCTTATTAGCCATCAATAACATAGTGGTACTATTTGGTACATCTCATACGTTCGCGAAACGGGAGAGGAAATTAATGAGGTGCGAAGCAGATGATCATTTAGCAGCATGTATGACATTCAGTTCTGAACTATTTATTTGATACCGCCTAAAGTGTATGGTCAAACATTCACGAGTTTTTGTATTTGATTCCAAACCAATGGTGCACATGGGCTCCAGAATCCTGAAGGAACAAATGGTGTATGAACCAATTATTCGTCACCGGCTACCATGGGACTGCATCTAGCGTTACTCCACTGCTTTGTGGATTATACCTCAGAGTCAAAGTTTTGAAGAGTGGCCCCCTAAGGAAACCACCTGCTTCAGTTTGGGCACCGGGGAGGTATCTCGGACCTTACACAAATGGAATGAATTGTGGCGCACATATATGTGGTGCCTGCTTGTACCAATGTTTATGTGTTTAAATAAATAACAATTTTCTATTTAGGAGTATTTCACAGTTAAGAAACCTTTTCCACCCATAATTTTAAACTAGATTAATTCATCCCTGTTTTTATGACTCCAGTTGCACACTAAATTTCCTTTACATAATTTTTTACATGAATATTTGCATTTTTCACTAACTTTTCACCACTTATAATTTTCTGATTACTGTTCACATTGTGAAACCTTTGGCTTTTTGGATTAATTTGTGTAAGGTTAACACGCTTATGGCAATAACTGAAGACTTCCTGTATTTTGAAGGTTTATTAGAGAATTTAATTAATTTCTAAGCCTGCGTAACCGACTTTCTGGCCAGAACTTATTGTATTAATATTCCTTCCTAGGCATGAACAAATAATTTTTATGCTTGAAATGTCAGTGTAATGATGTGACACATCTATTAAGTACGGGCTTTATGTATTCAGCTTAGACCCATAATGTTTATGTTTAGTGATACTACTAGGTTGTTTAAACTGAAGGCATTTTAGACCTACATAATACGTGTCCCAACCACTTTAGTTAATTAAGAATCACACTATTATTAGGTGATTTACTATCCTTGCCTAGTACCTTAGTGTAGATGCATGAACCCACCTGACGTGCAGTATTATATTTCCACATGTAGAAAACCAAATGCTATAATCGCTAAGCTAATGCTACGTTTAATATCAAGACTGTAACTTTGAAAATGAACTTGACAAGGAGTATTTTGATAAACTCCGTGTTTTATGGCTTTCGTTGGTGTAGTGAAGCAGTCATGAAGTATAGGTATATACAATCTAAATTCGGCGGTGGGGGTTAGTTTTTAATAAACTTAACATATAACAATGGGGCAGCAGGTTCGAATTCTGCTTTGAGTACTTCAGTCTGGGGATACACAGTTAATATTACAAGCCCGAATCCGACTAAACTACTTTGTATTCCATTCTGTATTTGAATTAGATTTATTACGTAGTAAATGCATAGTAACTAGTGTAGCTTACCAGTAATGGACTATCAGTTAGTGATTTGAAAGCAGCAACCAAGTAAGCAGAAGCACGTACATTGGTGGTCTGACGACGTGTGTAGAGATGGTTGAACAATTTGACCAGTTTGTTCTACAAAGACGAAAGCATGCGTGAATATATAGTTTAAAGAATTATTTTGAGTAACAGATACACTCAATGTGTATTGTTGAATCGGTTTTTAAACATTTCTTAAGGTGGAATAATAGACCATAGAATCATTTCTATTGAGATAATGAAGAACCAACGTTAGTGCTAACATTCATAGCTATCACAGTCGAATAAGTATGAGTCGCTCCGTAGAAAAATATCTTCCAAAATGGTATGCAATCACCAACTGTTAGTGCTTTGAATTCCATTCGCCTTTTTAGACACGTTTTACAGCTATTTATAAATGGCATTATATGTTTGAAATAATCTCAGTGATTGCAGTTGAAATTATTTCAACATTTCGCCTGGTAACATAATCAGAGATAATATTGATCTAAATGATTTTCTTGGAAATGTTGGATAAGTTTGCCAGGTGAAACGTCGAAATTATTTAGATTTTAAACATAGATTATTTCAAATGTAATTTGTTACATATCATGTCCTTGACACACTGGGCGCCCAACGTTTTTTCCATTAAAATATTCGTCTAGATCTTGACAAATGTTCAGATAAATAAATTGGAAATGGATTTTTTTACATATATCTTATTAGAATTGTACGGTAATTAAGTAAGCATAATATTGAGTAAACTGTCCCGGTTGGTCTATGAGCGATAAGCAGAACTAAATATTCTTAGTTGTTATTATTGATGTCAAAAGTTAACGGAATATAAAAATGAAGAGAATTCAGGGAAATCTTTTAGACTAAATCATTTGCCAAACAAGTGTAAATACGAATGTACAGCTGAAGTAAATAATTTTGTCGTAAAGATATTTTTCTTCGCTGAATTCTCCTTACTTTTAATCAATGAAACAGAATATGGTCAAATACAATGATATCGTTGACGATGTTAATCGCGAAAACGAATAAATGGTACTTAAGAATGTGAAAATTACCTCAACGCTGTTTGGAACCTCTCCGTATGCAGTAAGGAAGTCAATAATACTTTTTGCAACGAATGACGTTGTATATAAGCCTTTTTCATACTAAAAAAGAATGTTATTAAAACAAACACAAGCTCATGGGAATAGCATGAATAAAAAGTCTTTATTCAATGAAATATTGGGTTTTATAATAATCAAACAAAGTAGACTTATCTACGTGAAAACAGAAATTCGTTACGACAGAAGCATAAAAAGAAACGTCCAAAGCAATGTCGAATAAAACATGCAAGCTGTGGAACTTCATCCATCCAATCAACAACATATCAATAGATGATAGTTAGCAAAAACGGAAGTAACCCAAGATCTGATCGATGGTCATATCGTTCCAAGTTCAAATCACTACAGTTAGGGGGAAGCACCAAGAGGCAATGTATGAGAATAATGACAGGAAACTGTAGTAAAGAGCTAAGTATCTCCAGGACTATATAACAAACTGTTTTCTTGGTAGTTCTAGTATCGGTAGATAATACTATGTAAGCAGTTTATGTGACCCTTTTACATCCAATAATGTGAACATTATCCGCTATTATTTAGATTTTATTTAACAGGATACAGTCGTAACTTAAGATGGTGAGGTTACGGGAAAGTTGTAAAAGTCACATAGAAATCAGGTTGAAACTCAATGGTTAAGTAACTGCTTTGAAAAATAAAAACTAATAATTCAGTTTTACACATTATACGGAGATTTTTAACTTGTAAAATCCGAAGGCTGGAATTCTATGCATTGAAAAGATGGTAGCTCAAAAAGTCATGGTAACTAGATTCGGCATATATCTGAACTCATGTAAATGACTAGTAATACAGAGGGAATTGAAATTTCAGGAGCTTCGATTTAGTGGTTAAAGGTTCTAACTCAATTTTTTCACGTTGTTTTGAAATTCTATTAGTTATGACAAACGTAGTCTGGAACAAATGTGCATCAACTGAAGTTGCTGCACCTCATCAGTACAGCAAGAAACTAGTAAAATGAATACCAAAGTAGTAACTATAATATAATTAACAGTAGAATAAGCTATACATACACAATACTATTGGAGAACTAATCTATCAGATAAAAGATACAAGACAAGTTTAAAACGTAGGATTTAAGGTGAAACAAAGAGTGGATACATTTAGGCCATTACTACCGATTTTGACTAATGTTACCCAACGTCTTCAACGATCAGTCACCATAAAATGAAATGCATCAACTTAGAACAATACATAGTTGTGGTAGACCTAAGGTCTTGTGATACGCACATGAATTTCGTGGATCACTTAGATACAGCATTACAGAGTTGTTACATCCGAAAGAATAAATGAATAGTAACTACTAGGAATCGTTTATGAACTATTATTGCATATTCTTGAAGATACTTATTAAGTAACTAGATTATACGTATATTTACATTCCTTTTATCATAAGCTTGCATTTGATCTATTGGCTACAGTCTCCTATAGTCGTGTCCACTTTTAGTTTGATCTCCTATAGTTGTTAGTTTTCATTTTATGGTATGATTTGGTCTGGTTTGCTTGTATATAAACCACGTATGTTTGAAATATATTATTCAAACGACGAAGGCTGATGTTCGTGTTCTGCACTGAACGGTCCGGGTTAGGCGAGAAGATACCATACAGGGGACCAATAAGGACTCAGAGTTGGTTCAAAGTTGTTAGCGCTGTTTTGACGCACTACTGGTTTAGTACAGGGATCAGGTCACAGAAGTCGATATTCTGGTTGGCAACACAGGACATAACAAGAATGAACATTGAAAAAAAGGTAACTTACAAACAGCCGATTATAACTTATTTCATTTGCTTGTTCCAAAACATTATCTATACTAGATACGTGGCCACTTATATTTGATTTCGTCAGTCCAATTTGTGACAAGATTTGTAAAACGAAACTTAACCTAAAAATTGGAACCAATTTTAGTAGAAAAAGTACAAGATACACATAATATAAGAAGTACTGGAAGCTGTTAACTAGATGCGTCTTTAACGCCGAAATAAGTTTTTCTTTATATACATCAAAGAGGTGACAGAAAATTGAGATAAAATTAGCAATTCAACATCAACTTAGGAACCTTATGTGAAAAAATTCAGACACTGCAAGTGAGTTTCAAGTTAACAAGTAGTCGGTGATTTACAGAATGACTACGATGCTTATTACCATCCGCTTTTTGTCCTCTCAGTTTCATAAACGATACTGCCACAAGAAGGCGGTGAGTAGGACTTCCCTGGTAGTGGCTATATATGCGTGACCATATGAGAGCATTTCGAGAGAAATAGTGGACTCTGCATTTGGGGTTAATGCTTAGTGACAAAACGGATGGAAAACAGATTACAATTTAATTTTGCCCGTAAATATACACTCGTAACTGGTTGAATATATATTGAATATCTAAGACAGCAGATGAGTATGAATTCTCGTCACATTAACTTCGAATAGCAGAGTTACACTGACTGTCTTATAGTATGTTCAAGTCAAGAATATGGAAGAGGTTACGGTATTTAATCACAAAATAATTATACTAAATGTTTTAAATTAATGAAAAAACCACTTACGTCATTGGGCTGGTATCTTTGTCTTTAATTTTGTTAATTATTGACAAAACATGGCTAGCATCAACTAATATGGGAAAAGATATGAGGACTGAATGAGTACTAACTTTTAATATTCAGATTTTTCATAGATGAAACAAGGTAAAACAGATTTTCAATTGATATATCTTCAGTCAACAACTGTTTGGACAACTTTTCGACCTCTGAAATTGATACCTAAGGGGAAAATTTAAATGTAAAATAATGTGGACAGAGGAAAAGTAAATGAAGGAGTAAAATTCATACATACATATGTGTATGGTAAGTTTGTCTCCGAATACTAATCGTGAGTCTTCACTACCTACCTAACCCGAAAACATTACGATACAGCTTACATGGGTCCATTATGATAAATGAACAGGCGAGACCAGGAAGATTCCCAATAACTCGATACTTGATGTTAGTAGGCTGCTAAACTGAACACTTCGACTTACACATTGTTGATCCTAAGTTTTAGACATGTATGACAGCACTTGCCGAAAATCAGGCTAAAGGTGATTAGCAACACATAAAAATGTCGATCTAATGGGTGGGTTTTTTGGCTGGAGTTTTCTATAACAAAGTTGTGGGAATGAATAAATTAGTCAAACCTAACAAAGGACTCAACATAGGGTTATGACTGAGATCACTATAGAAACGAAATCGTATGCACTGATTTTGAGTATTTGTAAACGCAATTTTTGACGTTGAACATACGACGAGAATAAAGTCTCATGTATGAATGCTGTTAGACTAATAAGATTTACGCAAATGACAGTAAGAACTAGGCAGAACGACATAACTCGGTTTTCAGAAAGTGCGTACATTGTCTTGAGATTCGTGTATTTTGAATAAGTACCTAATTTGACAGGAATCGATTTTCGAAAGCTTGGTCGAGTAGTAGTCAGTCAGTTATGCGCAATGTATAACAAGATACACCTAGGCAACAATTAAGTTTTCGACGTCACATCAGGCTAATGAGATTTGTGAGTCGAAGCAACAAAACTCAGTTTCCCAAGTTTGGGAAAATCCCTAAAGTCAGGTGACATTCACCAAGGTTCAGGGGAAATTTGGGGGTTTTGGTGCCATTTCTCCAAAATTTACTATAGCGGCTTCCCGAAATTGGGAGGCTGGAAAGCGTAATTTTTGGATTCACTGAGGACAACAAAATGAAGTAAGAACAGAGGTATCCAGGCAAAAGATTTGCACATTTGAGACTAGCTATGAAATAGAAAACATATGCATCATTCAGCTCGAGGTAAATTCAAAGATATATTTTACAGGCAAGAAGTTGTTGATAGTTTAAAAAATACAGTACGAACATCTGAAAGGCCACCTATAACACTACTCGTTACTTAATTTACAAAGAAATGTTTGTAAGGCATTCATAAATATAAACAAAATGGTCTAACAAGACCACAATGATCAGTGAATCAAATTTAAAATTCTCACCTTACACTTTGAAGAGCCAATGATTTTGTGGCCCGCACTCACATACAGTGCTTCTTCTGGGTTGGTAATAGGTTTGTTCAGCGAGGAACAAACATCATCTGGGTTAGGAACCCGTTCACCAAGGGAATGAAGACCAAGTATGGCATGATAAACTTTGGAAGCATCAGATGGAGACTCATTAATTTGTCTTTCGAAAACCGAACGGAAATGGTTTTTGTCGCGAACGGATATGGAGCCGATGAATAAAGTATTACTTTGATCCGCCTGAATACCTTTAACTGCTAATATGTGAGCAATCAACAATACAACCGTAACGAAAAACATATCTCCAGTCCACCTCATAACAAACACGAGTAGGTAGAGCGGCTGGACAACTGACGTCTGCAAAGTGGTGCGAATAAACAACTATTGAGGTGTATATCATTCCATATCTAAATGGTTGAAAATTAATAAACAACCAATTGATTGTAAACTTCCGCTTTTATTTGAGAGATTATATTATATTTCCGTCATCTTAGTATGTTGAGTGACTGATTCACAGCAAACTTTATGTTATAACTAACTTGTTGTTAGTAGTTAATAATTAGAAAACCTGTAAAATTTATTTTAGTACGGCTATGAAGCTGATCAGGCACTTGTGTGAGTACTGTTATTCCACAGACAATTTGCGATATTTAGTGATAATGCTCTTGGGGTCAAATAAGCTTTAAACTGTATTCGGTGATTAATCAGAAACTTCGTGTGAAAATTCTAAAGAAGTGCATTTTGGGCATTTCGATCAACTTTCCACCAGGTTTTTAAATTATTTTCGAGTATTTTAAAACTGTATTCGTGTTTTGTAATCACTGGTGGTTTTTGTTCTGCACCATTTACAATAAAGACAGATGTCTAACTTCCAGCTTTTCAAATGGAATTAAAGATGTCGCAAGTATTTGGAGCTTGGAAAATTTTTTACCAATAACACCTTTGTAATCGGAGTATTCCAACCAAGTAAAATCAGAAGTCAGAAATGAAGAGGTTCGAAGATATATTCGAAAGGTTAACGATATATATCGAGAAGCGTTTAATCTAAGCTAGTTAACGGCTGTAGAAGATGCGTAGCAAAGTGTACCCACTCGTGATCTAGTGAGGATGCGTGACCGAGAGTCTCCACCTAGATGTATCCATTAAAACCAATGACGTTAGCATCAGGTGTCGAAGACTTAGACAACAATTTATTTTGAAGATTTGTTTGCCGCTTCAGTACCTTGAGTTTCAAAGTTATGGGAACGTTCTTTCTGCTAAAGTCAGGACTGAACGATATAAACTTTTTGGAAACGAATAGTTCATTAGAAGCGAGCATTGAATTGACTCTTTGACATTTGATCTGTAAAAATGTGAAAGTCTGTCATTTCCTGAGGCAAACCACTTAAAAACGTTCTACAGTTCAGCCTACCTTATGCTGAGTGGATTCTCTAGGTTTAAGTGCGCATCTTAGTTTTAATCTCATGGGGAATAATGACCAGTGTCAATCTTACAATTTATCTAAAAGACTCTAAATGTAATTACAAGACAAAGTTTGTTGAGCTTGTCACTACTAAAGGAACGAAAGCGCTGATCCCGTTGTCTAATATTCAATTGCGTTATTTGGTGTGATGCTTTGACTGAGTGATGAACCTGCATTTACAGCTGAGAAATACATCAACCACCAAGGTCTGTCTTCAGTGACGTAAAATTCAGTGTTTACGGATTCGTATTCTCACACAACCATAGTTATGTGGAAGCGTGTTTGCAATAATGCCAGAAGGGATTACGTATTGACGATTAGTTTCTAATTGGTCTCACTGAAGTTCCTCTGGATTAGCGCATAAACATTCACAACAACCTAGTAAAGTGTGTTAGGGCGACGCAATGTGAATTATGAGCTCTATTGATTATTCAGTTATTCTACCTAGTGTCTGCAAACGCTTGTCGTTTGATTATACCCGTGTAATTATCAACCTGGTCAGTTAAAACCGTCAAATACTTGATGTTGCTGAAAAATAAAGTTTTTAACCAATCATTTCTCTTCTATGTTTTAACAACGTTTCGAGTATAAGTTGTCTCGTTCCCCAGATAATGGTCAATCGTTCTGTTTTCAATACAGGGTTCGATGGATACCTACGACCTCACCACCCTCAGCCCAACATTGCAACAAAATTATGACTGAGACTTTGATACTAAACGTTGGTAATGATATTCAGGCTTCACTGGAGTAGAGGTGAAGTGAATGAATACTTGACGGGAAAAACCGGTGTTACTAGGTACGAAATTACAGAATGTCTTCCTAAAATATGAAAACCATACATTACACATCTTCCGTCAATTGTCCTTTTCATCCTTCATGATTCTTTCGATTCTCAATTTCTTTATGTTTCCCTTCCTGTTTTCTTCAGTTCAATCTTCTCAACCTTCTTTTAATGGCCATTCCACTTCTGATTGGTGTTGAATACTGCTTATATCTGTCGACATAAGTAGCTTACCCCACAAGGGTAATGTGTTGAAAAATGGCAATCATTAGGCGGAGAAAATTTGATGTTATGAGGTATTAGTCCCAATATCATGTAGTTAACCTACCGTGTTCAACGAGATTTCATGCTACAAACTAATTCGAAACTACTAGATTGAAAAACACTATCATCCCATACAGCCAAGAAAACTGGAGATAAAAGCAGATAACATTAGGCATTACTTCTGACTGACTGTCATTTAGAATGTTAAACATAACAAACGACCTTTTCCACATAATTGCAATACGTTCACAAAAAATGAGGTACTAAAGAATGCTTATAGAGTTAGTCTTTGGAAGAACGAGAAGGAGGCCTCGAAGGTCAAGCTGACGCAGGTGGGCAAACAGAAAGGCAGAGTAAAATAACATTGCGTATCTACAAAGTCTCGCTTTAGGTCCATCTCATAAAACTAAAGGACTTACAAGATTTTCTGGCTGAGTGGATCAGACCAACACGCCACATTTGATGTCAGGAGTCATCAGAAGCCGTGTATTTAAATCGTTTCGTAAGGTTTTGAGGGTAGGGAAAGCCTTTGTTTCCTCTATATAGGGCCGGTTCATAGAGACTGGTGAATTTCCTATCTAAAGCTCCCTAGCTATGAGATCTCCATAAAGTTTCAAACGAAGGTAACTGTTCAGCAAATATTTGCGACAGGATGCCAATTGTTTCATTGAAAGAAAGATCTCTTAGGTTCTTTGAATAAGTGGAATTACTGTAACGTTCGTATCCAACCGCGCCAAGTTTTATTAGGAGCATTCTGACTTTGATGGTATCATCAAGATTATTGAGGTCAACCCTGACCAAACCCTCATGTTTCTTGAATCAGGATTTGAATTTATTGCCAACAAAACCATCCAAATGAAATTCGTTAAAATAATTAATGATAGAATCGGCATGTGTATTACGCGAATCATCAGTAGTCCCTCTGTTATTAATGTTCGGTTGTTGCGTTTAGATTTCCAGGATACGAACTTGGAACTGTTTACATTGTTCTTCCTGACATTCAAGCAAATACTACACTTGTTCAAGAGTTATTGTCATTGTTCTTAGTACATGTCACCTTCAGTATTACATACCCTATTTTGAGGTTTTGTGATAATTAGAAGTATTTGGATTATTATACAAACTAAGAATCTTTGAAACAGCGCAATTTAAACTAAATCGAACTAGGTGAGCACAAACGGACGTATTGTAGTTAAAATTCAAAATCAGGCTGTCATCAAGTACCAAATAATAATTAGTTCTGCTTTTTATTGTTCAAGTTACCAGATGAATATGTATTGATATGTGTAATTATCACATGTGACTAATCCAGGATTGATTCACCTGCAAAGCAATCAAATGGTCTTAGTTAAGTGATATGACGGATGGTTTGAAATTTTCTTTCTCTGTGGTGTAGGTTAGATTGAATACTTGAACGGTACATTACATAATACAGGAGCCAGATCACGTCATATCAGATACACGATTCAGTCACTTGTGCGTACATGACCCCGAACTGCTACTATAGGTCTGTGAAGATTTTCGAATCTTATATTTAACGTCAAAGGCTGGTTTTCGCTAAACAAACAATGGAAACCAGGATGCACTGAACGCTATGATATTATGTGCCACTGTAATTACAACATATACTTTAGTTTACAGTCCAACTTTAACAAACGCTAACAAGAACACAGAGAAGTATTTCCTTGCATGTTTGAATCATCACAAAAGTAATACCTTTCATTTGTCTTTTTTCTATCGTAAAAGTACCCAGGTATTCTATGTTGCTTAAAGTGCGTTAATTAGTAACAATCATCAGTAAGGGAAGATAAGGACGTGATTTATAATTGAAACAGGCCGATGTAAATAGACAAAACGTTGATATGTCTACTTGTTATAACCGTGGAAAAGCAACTACCTGTTACAATGGAACAAAGACTGATACAGTTCAGCGCAAGGGAAGAAAGCTAGAATGGGGATGAAGTTTTTATTGTGTACTGACAATAATTGCTCAACTAATCCAGCCGGTAACCAAAACATTGTCTTAAAGAACTACTTCTAAGATGTACGCTCAACGTGCAATTTAGATTTAATGATGTTTTCTAAAGACAAACAGATGAATTCGCAATAGACTAATATTATCTATACATTCATATGGTATTTAATAAATAGATTATGTATATTTATATTCCTCTTATTATAAGCTTTATTTTGACTTATAATTTAGTATTGTACGATTTACGGTTCTTAAGCTATTTTCAGTTTACTAACCACTGCCTCCCACGTTCACAGCCATTTTTCGGCCTTATTGTGTACAAATATGATTTTCTGTTTTATGGCGCTTCGCGGTCTGTTTGTTTGATATATAAACCCAGTATGTCTGAAATAAATGATTCGATTCGCGTATTGGAAGCTGGCATTTAGTGTTCTGAGCTCAAGTGCACGAGCTAGGCAGACATAAGACGAAATAAGAAGCTAGGCTGCTCATGCCGGTAGAACGTCAGTGGTTTAGCACAGTGCTAAGGTTGTATAAGTCATATTTTGATTGGTGGATAAATCACGTGATAAAAAGCCGGACATAAAGTTATAACAGAAACAATTACTAGTTCAATACTTAACTACTTACGCCTGTTACTCCCGATGGAGCATAGGCCGCTGACCAGCATTCTCCAACCCACTCTGCCCTGGGCATTCCTTTCTAGCTCTATTCAAAAGTTGTTCGTTCTTTTCATGTCTGTTTCCATTTCTCGACGTAATGTGTTCTTTGGCCTTCCACTTTTCTATTGGCCTTGAGGATTCCATGTGAGGGCTTGGCTTGTGACGCACCTAGGTGCTTTCCCTAATCGGTGTCCTATCCACTTCCAGCGCTTCTTCCTGATTTCTTCCTCCGCTGGGATCTGGTTTGTTCTCTCCCACAGTAGGCTGTTACTAATAGTGTCCGGCCAAAGGATCCGAAGTATTTTGCATAGACATCTGCTAATAAACACCTGTATTTTCTGGATGATGGCTTTCGTAGTTCTCCAGGTTTCTGCCCCATGTAGTAGAACTGCCTTGACATATGTATTGAAAATCCTGACCTTGGTGTTGGTTGACAGTTGTTTTGAGTTCCAGACGTTCTTGAGTTGTAAATATGTTGCTCTTGCTTTGCCAATCCGCTCCTTCACATCTGCATCAGATCCGCCCTGTTCATCAATGATGCTGCCCAAATATGTAAGGGTTGTTGCATCCTCCAAAGCTTCTCCGTCAAATGTGATTCTATTGTTGCATGCTGTGCTGTATCGTAGAATCTTGCTTTTCTCTTTGTGTATGTTGAGACCTACTGCTGCTGAGGCTTCTGCTACACTAGTCGTCTTCTCCTGCATTCGTTGTTGCATGTGCGATAGAAGAGTCAGATCATCTGCGAAGTCTAGATCGTCCAACTGCATCCTTGATGTCCACTATATCTCGTTTCCCTTCAGATGTTGACGTCTTCGTGATCCAGTTGATCACTAGGAGAAAGAGACAAGGTGAGAGTAAGCAATCTTGCCTGAAACCGATCTTTACTTCGAGCGAGTCAATGAGCTGTCCTCCATGCATGGCTTTGCAGTTTAATCCGCCATAGGAATTCTGTATGATATTGACTATCTTTTGAGGCACGCCGTAATCTTGAAGAAGCCTTCATACTGTTGTCCTTTCCACGCTGTCAAATGCCTTCTCGTAGTCAATGAAGTCGATGTAGAGTGATGAATCCTATTCAATTGATTGTTCCATAATGGTCCGTAGTGTCGCAATTTGGTCTGTACACGATCTATGCTTACGGAATCCATCCTGTTGGTCTCGAAGTTGGGTGTCTACGGAGTCCTTCACTCTGTTTAACAACACCCTGTTGAAGATTTTTTCTGGTATTGAGAGAAGATTGATGCCTCTGTAGTTCTCACACTTTCTGAGATCGCCTTTCTTTGATATCTTGATCAGGTTTTCTTCTTTCCAGTCTTTTGGTACTTGTTCCTCATCCCAAATATTATTGAAGAGAATGTGGAGTCCCTCCATGGGCTACTGCCAGTTCCAAGCCCGGATAAATGAGGAGGGTTGGGCATGGGGTTAGTGACCCCTTCCCGTAGAAAACTAACTTGCTGAAGAACACTAACCAGAAAAATTATTCAAACTAGTTCGATACAGCAGCATTTAATTAGCTGTGGACACTGTTGGGATATTCAGGAAAATATCCCAAAAATCATCCTGTTAAGCCTAATGATATCCTTGGACATGAAATGGTATCATCTTATTGGTCAATATTTATTTAACGTGTTATTTTCCTGTTGGCCATTATTGTACAATGTTATTTTCTATTTTATGGTACGTTGTGGTCTGCTTGACTGGTATATAAACAAAGTATGTTTGAAATATAATGATTCATATATCCGAGGTTGAGACTTGCGTTCTGGACTTAACTGGCTGGGCTAGACAGGGAAGCGGGGCCAATCAGAAACCTAGGTCGTTCTACGTGTTTGCGCGTCTTTGGTCCGATCAATAATTCGCTACCCCTCTATTCAGCAGCAGTTCTTCACGTTATAACAGACACATCGCTCCAAAGGACTCTTCTTTTAAAGTAATCTACAGAGTTAAAGGAACTGGATCGAATCAATACTCTATGCACTGCTGAGGCATTGGCAATTCACGAACTAAAGCCTGGACCTTGCGTGCAGAAATGATTTGTCCAACCTTTCACCCCTTCCTTGGCCTTAATTCCCTTAATGGATATGTTCGTTTTTTCTTCTGCACTTTTATTTGGTTATTATCGAATTTTTTAAATTACTGTTTTGCATTTTCAGTTATTGTTATTATTACCTTATGCAAGTTTTGATTATTCAGTCTATTATTATGACCTTTGTGACTGTCGCTTTTCTGCATATCTGTCAACTGGACTATTATCTGACCCATAAATTATTTCCATCCTTACCCCTTGATTATTACGCAACCTCATTTATTTATTCTCGAATCCGTTTTTGTGATGCAATCTTTTCTATCCTCCTATAGACATATATTTTTCATATAAGTATATATACGAATGTACAGCTTAAGTAAATGATTTCACCGACAAAATTTTCTTCGCTGAATTCTTTTTATTATTCAAATGACACTATCGGTTATTTTAATTATCTGAAAAGTTCAATACATTGAGATGGGGAGTACTTAACATTAATTAGTCAATAACTTGATGGATGGACACAATTTACAACATCTAGAAGTTAAGATACTACTTTTCACCGATGAATTTATTTATGGAGTTACATATTGACTCTTTCCTAAGGTTAACCGTCACTGATTATATATCATGAAGCTATTTTACTAACTGTTAGCGGGACATAGACTGGATTAAAGCATGCTCAATGTACAATTGCTTTGGTGCACGCTGATTGGCTAATTCTTATTCAATCAGCGCTAGTCGATAGTTGGAGAATACTCTAGAATCTTCTCATGTAAAAACTATAAATATACTAACGTTTTCTCTATTGTGCTTCTTACTTCCATCTAACCTTGTTATTTGGAATATAATCTCTTTCCTGTTCAACCGTGTTCTGATTTGGGGACTTGTCGAGTGATTTGGTGTCCAAGAATATCAAGCAATAGGAATAGTTGGGCCATACCATAAGAAAGAGATTATAACACTAACGATAATTATATTCCAATTAGAAGTGAATTTGATACAGAGATAGAAAGGAAAAAACACATCCACAGCTTAATATAAAGGTACAAATATTAATTTGAAACTTGAAAAACGGTAGTAAAAAAACGTTTTAAAAGTAGAAAAACACATACCCAGCGTACATATCTAAAGAACAATTTTTTGGTAAGATATCACATAAGTGTATGTAGGAGGGGTTGAACACAATATCACAAAGTAAAAAAAGAGAAGTCGACAATTACTATCTGATATCTGTGCACTTTTCGAAGTGGAAGGGGTGAAATGTCCCTTTTTCTCTCTTCCAACTGTAATACAATAAACCGAATACAGAAGAGGAAACAAAACACCGAATGTAATTTAATTGTTACTATTATTGTTTTTATTAATATAAGGATGTGAACATAAGGAAAAATGGGACTACCAACGATTGATACCAAAAAAACGAACCCTATAAAACTGAGGCAGCTTAGGAAGTACGGCTAGAACAATCATTGACGATGCGTTGATAAAACAATGAAGAGGATCGTATTCTGTGTAGAAACTTGCAAGTAAGAATCTAAAAATAAGAATTGCAAAAAAAGCAAAGACTTAAAAGCAACTGAGAGGGTCACTTAAAAAAAATACGTTTATACATAAAACTGAGCTATGTGTTTGACCGAAAAAATTCAGACACATTTTGATAGCGATTACCATTTAATGTGCGATCCACATACAAGAATTAGTGTAGTTCAATTTTAAAGCACACTTTTCACATGTGCACACATAAAGACTGTTAATAATATCTACCAGCTTGTTTCAATTTAAGTAGGCAGGTAGAGGGGGAGAGTCAGTCAGCTATAACGATTGACTGACTGAGAGAGTTGGACGTGCAGGCAAATTGGTTGAAAGTTGAACTATTCGATCATAAGCATATAGTTTAGACAGGCGGCCAGCCAGGTTATATCTGTGAAATGAGTTATTTTTATGCTAAAAAAGAACCTTGCTGTTTTAGAATTTTCCATTGACGATGATGATTTATAGAACAAACAAGTTTATTGGTCTTTATACGTTTTCTTTTAAAAAAAAGATTTAATCTTCTATTAAAGCATAGTTTTAATGTGTTGTTCACCTCACAAAATAACATTGCCAAAATAGTGAGCAGTTTAACCTTTACAATACATAATAATAACAGACAAATACAAAAAGTAGTCTGGATATACATTATAGTATTGTTACAAAAATGACCTCTTGAGAATAAAATATGAGTGAATGAACACCACTACTGTCCTACTGGTTAGTAAGTATAGTAAATCAATGAATTAAGAGGGAGTATTGAAGGTGCTTAAGTGTATTTGTTAGATAAGTTTCATAGTCAAATCACCCAGATAATTGTGTTAACACAGTCACCATTGACCTTATTTGATTGAAATTTGTTGCTTACGATTTTTTTTTATTGTATGGACTAGCAATCGATAAGATATTATCTATCTATCTTATATAAGTGTAACTGTGTCACTCGTATTTTATATTTTGTGTAATAACTGTTTGGTGTAGGCGTGAATGCTCTTTTTGAGATGACTTTGATCATTTTCGATTAATGTGCTATTCGCGTTAAAAACAAACACTGGAAAAAACTCGAAGTTCTCATTTGTCTAAAATGTAGCTACTGGATAGTCTGGATTGATAGCAATCTATAAGTAAAGCCCATATTCAGATAGTTGTACGCAAACCAAGTTCTAAACAGTTAAAAAAGTTGGTTTGAAAGACAATGCCTACTTTGAAATAGTTGATTTTTCACCTGACAAAAATGACATTGATGACCAGCCAGTGATCAATCAGCTGTAAATACATCTCAGTCCTACAGGTCAGTCGCGGCCCAGATAACCCAGTGGTAACGTCTCTGACTGTGAAGCTGGGTGACACGGGATCGAATCCGTCAGGGGGCATCAGTTCCCTCAAGATTACAGGCACACCTCGTTGACGAGTGTCAGTTAGCATGAAACCCAGGTCCAGGGTTTCCTGTCGACTACCTCCTACCACCATCATATGAAGGGATAATGTTTAAGTGACTGAGAAAATGTAATTTATTAATTATTTACATGAAGGCATTAAAACTTTACATACATATATAAACGGTTCACATAAAACATATTAAGAGTTGGATATTTAATGCAAACGAATTTTATCAGTAATGCATTTGTATGTACTTGTTAGAAAAAAGTTTGTTAAGAAGGTGTTTATTTTGCTTCTTGGAAATTACTTAAGTTGTTTTGTAATCTCTCTCTTTCTCTCACTTGCTTCAACTAAATAGAAGATATTCCAATAACCTGTATAGATTTTTCTCTTTTACGGACCTATATGCAGGTTAAACAGATCGTGTGAATTAATGGTAATCTTTATTTACGATTTTATTTTTAAATCTGTGTTTACATATGTGATAATGGAGCAAGTCCTCTTCTCCTTCTTGTTATCATGATTTTCTCCCCGGGGCCGATATATTCTGTGACTCACTGTGCCCGGTGATCGTCATCTCCGAAGGATTGCCAGTATCCATGGTATACTATGTCAGTAATACCCCGGTCCGCTACGTGTATTCAGGGATGTTGACAATTTAACTAGCGTCACTATTTTAAAAGACTGACTTCAATGGCCTGATTATTGCTTACGAATGTTATCCTAATAACAGTCGGAACATAATAGTTTCTAAGCAAATTTGTAGGCACAACCTGTCGTACACTTCAGATTCGTTCACAATTACCGACTAATTAAGAGAAGGACGATCAACATTTCATGATAACTCCTACTGAACATACAAATGTCTAAAATCTATCCTCTTGATTTGTTTTCCTTAGATCGGGCTTGTATAACCGGCTGACATCTTCAGAAGTTAAATTATGGCTAAGAATTTATGTAGCATAAATTTAACGTAGCTCAGTATCCAGTTACAAATTCGTGTGTTTAGCATTGGGTTACACTATCTAGCAGTCCAGAGTGAAGTAGGCACAGTAGTGCTTTGTCTGTTATGAAATTCCTGAACGTCGAGTGCTCCAACCAATAAGTCACTTGCTTTACGCACAAGCTAAGTAAGACTTATGATATGATGCATGATTTCGAACAGGATCACTGATTTCCATTTTTTAAAACAAACCTTTTGAAAAATTTTTGAAGCTAAATATTGAGCTGCAATAATATTTGATGACAAAAACAACAAGTGAAATTAATTTTCTTACGTTACTCCGTAACGTAACTCCGTTTGGAGCCCTTCTTGGGCTACTGCCGGTCCCAAGCCCGGATAAAGGAGGGTTGGACATGGGGTTAGCGACCCCACCCCGTAAAAAACTAACTCGATAAAGAAACGCTAACCAGAAAAAATAATTCAAACCATTTAAACTCTGTCCTGGGAGTTGGAAGGTCTTCATTTAGAAGAGTTATGAAGCCTCATAGTGAAAGCCGAGTTCCTTCGGAAGTCACGAGGCTGATGCCTCTTCTAACAACCAGAGCAACCATTTATTTAGGTACATAGAATACTCGTACAATGTGAGAGACTGAGAGAGTCTTCCAAATCGCTGCAGAAATGAAGAGATACAACCTGGAGGTGCTTGGAATCAGTGGAACATATTGGGCGCAAGTTGGACTACAACGACTAGCTTCAGGGAAACTTCTATTTTCCTCCGGCCATGAAGAAGAAAATGTCCCACATACACAAGGAGTTGCGTAGATGCTATCCAAACAAGCAGAACATGCACTTATAGGATGGGAATCTCATGGACTAAGGATCATCAAAGCCTCCTTCAAAACAAAGAAAGAGGGTATTACAAGGAACGTCATCCAATGCCATGCGCCTACCAACGACTACAATGAAGACGTTAAGGACCAATTCTACAATAGGCTGCAGTCAATCGTCGAGAAGTGTCCAACAAAGGACTTGACCATTCTGATGGGAGACCTAAATGCCAAGGCTGGAATGGACAACACAGGATATGAAGACATCATGGGACGACGTGGACTAGGAGAAAGAAACAAAAATGGTGAGAGGTTTGCAAACCTATGTGCAATCAATTGAATGGAATTCGTCATTATACATAAACTTCATTGACTATGAGGTGTTTGACAATGTGGATATGAGGGCCTTATAGAGCCTTCTTCGACACTGTGAGGTTACTGAGAAGATCGTCAGCATCATCTATGATTCATAAGACGGACTACATTGCAAAGTGGTACACGGAGGACAGCTGACAGATGCATCCCAAATGAGGAGCGGAGTCAGACAAGGCTGCATACTCTCCTCCTCCTTCTTTCTTCTGATGGTCAACTGGATTATGAAGACCTCGACATCTGAGGGAAAGCACTGAACACAATGGATAGCTTGAAAGAAACTAGACGATTTGGACTTCGCAGATGAAATCAACGAATGCAGGTCATGACAACCAGTGTAGCAGAAACCTCTACCTCTTCAGCAGTAGGCCTCAACATACACAAAGGAGAAAGCAGAATCCTTAAATACAACACGGAGAACACCAACCCAATCACACTTGGTGGAACTTTCACATACCTGGTTAGCATCATCTATGCAGACGCAAACGTAAGGGTTGGCAAAGTTAGGGCAGCATTTCTACAGTTGAAGAACATATGGAACTCGAAACAACTGTTTGCCAACCAATATCAAAATCAGAATCTTTAATATGAACGTGAAGACAGTTCTACTGTATGGAGCTGAGACTTGGAGAACTACCACAACCATCATCGAAAATGTACAAGTATTTAAAAACGATTGTCTACACAAGATATTTAGTATCCGTTGGCCGGATACCATCAGTAACAGCCTACTGTGAGAGAGAACAAACCAACTTCCAGTTGAGGAGGGAATTAAGAGAAGACGTTGGAAGTGGATAGGACATACATCGAGGAAATCATCAAACTGAATCAGGCGGCAAGTACAACTTGGAATCCTGAAGGGAAACGGAAAAGAGGAAGATCTAAGAACACACTATGTCGGGAATCGGAAGCAGACATGAAAAGGATGAAGAGCAACTGTAAAGGATTGCCCATGAATGAATTCGATGGAGAATGCTGGTGGGCGGCTCATTTTCCTCTACAAGAAGTAACAGGCGTAATTTAGTGGTTAAGAGTTAAGTCACAGCATAAAAGAAATTAACATCCACGATAAAAATAAGTGACCACAAATAAATTTTGTCGTCTACGTTTACAAATGAACCTTGATAATAAATATGAAAAGGAATAAAAGAACTGGGTAATGACTATGTATAAGTTGTGAATATCACGATGTGCACTTGGCCTATAATTTTACGACTGGTAGAAATCAGTTTGCAGGAATCTGAGTGATATCATGTTGCGTCTATTCACTCCATCTATGTAACAATCCAATAGCATAGTGTTGTTCTCACCACTGCTTTTCATTTTATCAATTTCTACGCGTGATGTGTTAAATTGAACCAATACAAATCCGTGTCAGCTGCTATGTTGTGTGTAATAAACTAACATTTTGTCGCCTCTGCTTTAACAAAATTTAAAGTGAAATTTATCGACAACAAAAAAGGTCTCAACTACTATTGGTATGAAGAAATAAGCAGAATTACATGGGGACGTTGTAACTGGGACTTACAAAACAATCGGGACAACTAAGAGGAATTTCTTTGTCGGTGAAAATTGTTCACCATCGTCAAACTGCTCCCATTGAGTAAGAACACGAGATTCTCCTTGATCTAATGTTTCATACGGGCTTCCTTTCTCCCAGTGTAACAAGAGATACATAACCTGACAATAAAGTGATATGAAGTAAATATATTTATAGGATACTGCAAGATTGGAATAACATTGACTCAGATATAATTTGAAAATATTCTAGCAAATATCACGATTGGTGTCGAAACAAAACTTGAAGAGTCAGTCAGTCAGTCAGGAACAACGTAGAACTTCGTACGTACGTACATCAGTACATACATCAGTACGTACATCAGTACGTACATCAGATTAAGATGACACATTTTCAGGCAACAAAACAAATGTTTTACTGAGTAAACTATGGAAACGGACCTCTGAAACATATGAATAATCACTTTATTTATTTATTTGAACACATAAATATTGGTATAAAGGGGCACCAAATACATAAGCGCCACACAAGTCATTTGATTTATGAGTGGGCTGTGATACTGCCCGGGTGCCCAGACCGAAGCAAGTGATTTTCTTAGGAGGCCACACCCGGAGCTTTCGACCTAAAGGTTTGGTTCACAAGACAGTCGAGCAACGTAAGGAGATGCAGTCCCATGATATCCGGTGACCAATAATTAGTTCGTATGCCATTTATTCCTTCAGGATCCCGGAGCCCATGTGCACCATTGGTTTGGAATCAGGGTTCTCCAACTCCCCTAGGCGGACCCTCCGTGTCCACTACTTGGTGATTAAGATATGTTAGATGGTCATGTCTGAATAATAGGTCCCAAATGTTTATTGGTGACCTAGACGGATATTTCTGTGTTAAGCTACTACTTCGCAATTCCAACTCTAATAGGGTGAACAAGACTACTGTTATCCTTTTCTTCACTACCATGTTAGCTACAGTGAGAATTCCAGTTGTTGTACAGAAAGTTTATTGATCTGAACCTAGTAGAACTCAAAATATGTTTAAGATAATTGGTTATATACTGATCACAATGATCATAGCTCATGATTTGTGTAATTGTCAACGAACAAAAGTCATGAGGGGAAATGCACTGAGTACCCATAAGCACAATTCACAATGAGAAAAATTAGTGTGACAAAAGTTCATCTTAAATCAATATTGATATTCTTCTTCCTAAGTTGTATGTAAGAATCCCCCCGAAAATGGATTTCTTCATTTAACGGGTAAGAGCTAGGTAAGATATGCAAAATATTGAAGGGAAATAACTACGTACAAAGCATAAAAATTCTGTAGTCAGTGTCCATTTGAACATCTTGTGGTTTTTAACCAAAGGTTCTTAACTACTTCAGAGAAGTTTGAAAGGTTTTAGTGAGATTCCCATCACTAGTTATTAAGATACGTAGGTAGTGGGGAATCCATTATAAAATGCAAGTTTTTAGTGAATAAAGAAAGGCGACTATTTCTCAATGTAAAAGGCATTGAGAAACGGAAATTCTACGGACATATTTTGTCGTACATAAATCCCCCCACTGTTGGCAGGAGGAATATTGCGAAAGGAACTTCAGACAAACTGAAGTAGTTTAGGATTTGGTATTTAAGAGAATGTTATTTTGACTCCGTTCGTCTGTCGTTGTAAGTCACATCGAAAAAGCCAGTTGGAAAATGATAAGGTTATGAGCAGTTAAAGTATGTAAAGAATCAAAAGCTTTAATTACCACAGTTGCACAGGAACTTGGACAATAGTAAAGTGCTTTTTAAAGATGACGAAAATACTCAACAATCTTGTCTTGTAACTGTTGAAATGAGATATTTAGAAAGGAAGGTTTTAAGGAGGCACATCCTTACATAAAATTGGACTTTACCGATGAAATCGGGTTATAATAATCCAGATCCATCTGTTAAGCCACCGGATAGCATGGATTTTAAGGTAGACTCAGTGAAATAAAACGGTCTTGAGGAACCATAGCTTGATCAAATCACTCAGCTTTCAACGAATAAATCGTAAGTTTGGGCTTTCTGTTCACTACTGTGTTTTGCGTAGCCCAGAAGTATCACTAGCTAAAATGTATATGAGACTTGAAGCCAATTACGTAAATCTGAACTGTGATGAAGTACATTATCATCTTTAGGTACAAAAATTGTATTCACAAAATAGTAACGTAGAGATGCACACTCGGTAGTTGTAGTGATTACTTTGGTGCCAATAGTGAGCGATAACTACGAGATTTTAAGGGTATTGTGAGGATGTGTAAACGAAACAATACTTCAGTGGATTTCGAAAAAAAAACATAGATAGACGTAATTTTATCACAGTACCAGAAATACTAGTGCTTGGGTCTCACACTAAGCAACCAGGACTGTAAAATACTGGAGTGATATGTATTTCAACAAGAAGTATAGTCAGTAATTTCAAATGAACTATAAAGAATCTACAAGTTAAAGGGTTCGATAAATACAATTAGTGTCCATGAATGGAGTATAAATGAGTGTGCAATTATATACGACGCACGGCGAAGTACCATGAAAGCTTTCATGATTTAAGACTAATATTGAATAATAACACATTAGAAATAGTTAGTTAATATCCGACCCACTATGCCTCAAATCGTTTTATGATCATAATAAAAAAAACTCTTAGTCGTGCATGGGATCATAAATAAAAGTCACAGAGCATAAAGTAACTCTAGACAGTAGGTAATTACAAATGATAAGAACATACAACATTGTGAAAAGTACAGGTCAACGTCCAAACAACAGCGGTAGTGAAGAGTGGGATGCATAGTAAAATGAAGTGCACTACCAGAATCACCAAAATATACGTGACCCATGTCCCTTGACTATTCAAATATTCCGAAGTAGGATTTAGAACCGACGTTGCAGTCCCAACTTGCATCTCAAAGAGTTGAACTTTGCGGGGGCCTTGGAAAGACACATCAACCGCTTTCTTTTAAGCCAATATGCAATATCTTAGTAACAAGCTAGTGCAAAGCAGTTAATTTCGTAGAGTTCACTTATTAATACAAGGAAGTGTTTCTAAATTCTTTGGTTACTACCAGTCATATTTTCACGTCACTTGGTCACATTAATTCGTCAAGCCACAACTGGAGTTTCCCAACTGCTAAGTCTTAACGGCCTGATAAACAACGACGGCGACGCCGCTAACCTTTTGGTTGAAGAACACTCTCGGACATTTCAACCGACCCTTATCAACTATACTGGTGACAGCTTCATCTGCAACTCTAAAGGATTTTCCGAAGTGAACCTGAGCGCTGACTTGGTGTTCCGGAAACTGCAGCACTTAGGAATAGACACTTCTCCTGGCCCGGATATGGTCCATTCTGCCATACTGGGGGAAGCAGCCTCAGTCCTGGCAACGCCGCTTAGCGTGATGTTCTCACACTCGCTAAGCCGAGGAAAACTGCCGGAAACTTGGAAGCTGGCTCACATCACACCCATTTTCAAAGGAGGTCGACACAGTGGACCTTCAAGTTACCGACAGGTGACTCTTCTCTCAATACCTTCAAAAATCATGGAGCCTCTGATATGCGATGGTATAAATGACTATTTACTGTCCTTAAATTTCTTCTCACCCCAACAGCATGGTTTCAGGAAGGGTTACTCTTGTACAACCGACCTGCTGACTGCGGTGGACAGATGGACAAGCATCCTCGATCGCAAGGGGAAGGTTGATATAATCTACCTAGATTTCTCAAAAGCTTTTGATAAGGTTAATTACACATGTTTTATCAATGAGCTCAAACGATTGGGTATCAGACCACCTCTAATCGATTGGCTCACTTCATACCTGAAAAATCAACATTTTAAGGTCAGGGTTAATTTCACTTTATCTCAGGCTATGGAGTGTCCTAGTGGGGTCCCCCAGGGCTCAGTACAAGGACCTCTTCCCTTCTTGATCTACATAAATGATCTTCCTAAACAGGTAACGTCAGACTTATTACTTTTTGCCGACGACGTGAAACTTTGGAGAGAGATACGCAACCAGGGCGATATACAGGCACTTCAAGAGGATCTGACCCGACTTTAAAGTTTGGCAGACGATAACGGACTTGCCTTTAACACTTCAAAGTGTAAAGTGGTCCATCTGCGACATGTCTCAGACTACAGTTACAACTCAGGAAACTCCTCTCTAGTAGTATTCCAAGTCGAAAAATATTTAGGAGTCCTGGTGCCCTACGATCTAAAGTCTTATGTTAACTGTGACAAAAATGCCTTCCGAGCAAACCTTGCACTGGTAACACTAAGGCTCATCAATCATTTTCACTGCATGGACTGATTATTGTTGCAGTGGTCGCACCCTGATCCTTGTGCTTAATCTTGATAAGATATTTATGTAATTATGGTTTTTGTGCTTTATGGTTATGGAGGTAGCCAAAGAATCTGGATATGATGTAAAAGTAACCCACGTCATATAATGAACATGAGGTGTGTCTTGGATATAGGTCAGAAGGTCACACCATTCCCGTCCAAATCAAGTAGTTGTAAGATCCATTTTGAAGGTTTTATGTGTTGGTGAAAATCCCTCCATGTATATACTTACACCTTGTTCTTATTGATTCTTTTAGTTGTACATTGTTAACTTTTTGACTACATTTGAATTGTTAATATTTGTATGTTATTATAGTTTCGTTTTTACTACACCTTCACCAATTCCCCATGTTTCTTCCCGAACTGCACTTATGTTGTTTTACTTTATACTAAGTCTGGGCGGCAGCCATTTTGGTTTATCCCTGCTTTTGATTGCTTGACCTGTGTTGACTGGAATTGTGCATTTTGGTTGTGAATTGAAGCACTCTTTCAGAATTAAAAACACTCTGTGTTATAGAGCGACCAATTATTACCTTTTAAACGAATCTGTACGTGATCTATCCAGACAGGATAGAATAACATTTATTTGTGGTGATTGGTAATTTTCTTGCATCTTCTATCAACTTCTTTATTTATTGTAATTTAGATTTAATTGATTGAACAATCATTGGTTGAATAGCCGGGTGATAATATTTGTTTAGGTAATGATTTACATTAAATTTATTATGAATTATAGAACCGCTAGTTACCCGATTACTTGTTCTGATTTCGACGGGAAAGGGCGCGTGTCTAAAACCCCCTGACAGCTATTCTTCAACTTCCAAACCGTAGTTTGGATCCTACAGTTCTAAACAAGTATTACTTGGTCGAAATCCTTTGGTAATCGTTCACGGATTTTCTGGAAATAATTGGTCGTGTCGCTTATAATGCCAGTTAATCGTCGAAGGAGATCAGGCTCAAAGTTCGTCGATGTTAACGAAGAATCCCCTATTGTCAAGCAAGTGCCTTTTGACGTCCTTAAGGGTCATGGTTCAGACTTAAATAGGGTTAATTATCATGGCAGTGATTCTAGCCTTAATTCGATGTCAGTTGATGTAAAAAATCTTAGTTTAAGGGAGGAGCAAAGGCCTGAATTACTAGGAAAGAGCATGTCGCCTATAGTCCATGGTGTTGGCCCAGAGCTACCAAAGGTTGAACTGAGTTATTTCGATGGAGAGCCAAGAGGTTATTGGGAATTTATAAGGCAATTTGAGACGTATGTAGCGTCAAGAGTCACGGATGATAGCCAGCGCTTACTCTATTTGATACACTACTGTAAGGGCAAGGCTAAAACAGCTATTGAAGGTTGCGTCATGATGGAGGCATCCTCTGGCTATAAAAGAGCAAGTGAGATTTTAAAACGTTTTTTCGGACAGCCTCACGTAATTGCTCGAGAAACACTAGAGGACTTATTCAGTGCTGTGAATTTTGAGTATATTGACGGGGACCAACTATCAAATTTGGCTATTAAGATGGAAAACTGTGCCATGGTCTTGGAGCAGATGAATTATACTTCTGATCTAAATTCCTTAGTTACCTTGGAAAGAATAGTGAGACTCTTGCCTCAACCTATGCAAGCCCAGTGGGCGGACTGGGTGGATAAATTGACTGAAGATAACAGGGAACCGACCTTCGACGAGCTCACTCAGTTTATCGCATCGCGTGCGAGAGTGGCTTGTAGTAGATTTGGACGGTTAGCAAACCGTTCTAGAAAAGGACATAACGTAAAGACGAACTGTCACGTGCAATCAGAGCAAGGGAATAGTTCGACAATGAAAACTAAATGTAGTATGTGTTCCTACGACCATGCCATTGATAAATGTCCACAGTTCTTAGCGCTTACAGTGCAAGACCGATGGTCTCACGCTAAAAGCAAGGGTATCTGTTTCGTCTGTCTTAGACAAGGACATAAGGTTAATGAATGTAAGATGACAAGGCTCTGTAAGGTTGACAGTTGCGAGAGGAGACATCACGCTCTGCTGCACACTGACTCGACAAGCAACGTCGTAAATGATAAGCCATCATGCCCGGAATATGGGAAAAGAGTTGTTAATCATACCAGTAAGATACAGACATTAGAGAACGAAATACGTAAGCCTTATGACGTAGAGTTTTCAGATGCTTATTCAAGTGATAAATCATTATCAGTAGACGACAAGATGGCTATAAAGATTGTGGAAGGTGGCACGCGCTTCGGCAACGGTCATTTTGTAGTTTCTATACCTTGGAAAAAGAATCCAGATATGAAAGTGGATAACTATGAAGTAGCAAACAGTAGATTACAAAGTTTGAAGGGTATGTTGTCGAAGGATGTCAGTCTGCACATCAAGTATATCAAAAGTACTGAAAGTGATTTTACTAAGACTTATGCGGAGAGGGTCTTTGAAATATATCTGCAATCTTATTATCGCCCTCCATGGTATTTACCTCATCGTGCAGTATTAAACATGAAAAAACCAGATCTTAGAGTGGTCCTTGATTGTGCCGCCCAGTTTGCAGGGGTTCCCCCAAATGATATGATTTATCAAGAACCCGATACCACTGCTGAGTTAAGGTGTATATTAATAAGTTTTCGCAAGGAGGCAGTTGCAATCCCTGTAGATGTTGAAGAAATGTTCATGCAAGTGAAGGTCCCTGAGTCTGATCGAGGAGCTTCAGGATTTCTGTGGTGGCAAGAGGGAGACATGTCGAGGGAATCATCCGAGTTTCAAATGACATCCCATCCATTTGATGCCACATCCTCGCCATTTTGCGCGAACCTTGCCCTGAATAAGACGGCCCAAATATTCTCTAACGGTTATGATGGTTATTTTGTAGATGATGTCAAGAATAATTTCTATGTTGATGATTGCTTGATATCCATTCCCACTTGTGATCAAGCAAAGAGTTTCGTTAAGCATATAAGTGAATTATTATGTAGAGGAAGTATACAAAAAATGACCGATCTTGGATCTTGGTTCAAATGTCCTATTTTATTGCATGGCGAATTTTATATAATAATCACTGACTGTACGGAACCTACTCTTGACGATATTGAGTTTAGAAAAACTGTTGTGGTTAACTTGAGTAGTATAAAGTACAACAAGACACCTGTTCTCTCTTATTATTCCGAGTGGTTGAAATTAGTCAGAGCTGTAACCTGGTTTAGAAGGTTCATCGAATTCCTGATGGTACTTCGTTTACCGAGTTGTGAAGGATCCGTTCATCTAGGATGTTTAAAGGTCAAAGAGCTTGAGATTGCCAAGCGTAAGATTTTATTGATGGTCCAGAGAGAAGTGTATGGAGAATTACTTAGTGAATTTAAGAACAGTAGTAAAGTAGTAAGCCATGATGATCTGAAAGGTTTATCGTTGATGATGCTTGATGGGTTACTCTGCGTTGGAGGTCGACTAAGATACTCAGACTTCCCAAATGCTTTTAAACATCCAGTAATTTTACCCAGTCGACACTTAGTGACGGAAATGATAGTTAGACATTGTCATAAAGAACAAGGACACATAGGAAGATCATTAGAAAAAGGGTATGGATATGTGTTTACTTGTTTGCAAACATGGGCAGTACATATTGAAATGATGT